CTATCCATCAATCCATCTATCCACCAATCAATCCATCCTTCTATCCATCCATCCATCCATCCACCAATCCATCATCCATCCATCCATCCATCCATCCATCCATCCATCCATCCATGATTGATATTTGCTGGAGAAAACTTACTTTAGGTGGATTATGCCAAAATTTATTAAAGACCTCTTGTCAACACCTAACCAACAGAAACAGAGGTTTCATTTTTATTTTATTTTATTGCACTTTGGAAAATGTTTTTAAAGCCATCTTTGTGGTGTGTGTGCGTGCGTGCGCACGTGTGTGTGAATGAGAGGTGCTAATGAGAGCTTGCTGAGAGCGCAGTAAAAATCTCTGTTTTCATAGTTATCCAGAGTAATGAGGCCTTAGAAAAGCGTCATACAGTGTTAGACTGACTCGGTGTGAGTCAGGTACATGTGGTCCACATGGAAACTAGTTTGGGTGTATTTTCTGCTTGCTGACCTTCTTCTGGTCCCTAAAGTGCTCTTTTGATCCACCATAATGTAATTTATTTTCCTCCTCCCTGTTTCACTTCATACCAACGTTCCTTGAACTCTCAAATGCTAAAGTTAAGTCCACATTCTTCTTTTGCTGCTCGCACATCGTGAACCTGTCCCGTCTGATCCACAGCGGCACCAGACGTTGAGTTTACAGCCAAACAGCAAATCCTGCATAAAACATAAGAACACCAGATGAAGCATGTGAGACAGAAAGCACAACAACACAAATCTGAACCCACGTCTGATGATGTTGCGTTAAATGAGCTGTTAGGGAAACAAGAAGATGAATTGGGCTATTTGGGCAGTTCTCATGCAACAATAAAAATTTAATTTTTTTTTTAGCACACCAGCTTTTGAAAGCACTTTTGTTTAAAAGTCAATTGAAACCAGTCTGCTTTCTTTTATTGAATCTGACAATTAAAACACATCGCCCTGCACGGTGAGCAATATCCTGGTAGAGCCCAGACTTCCACATCAGCTATAGCTTTAGCAGTCGTTGGCAGGAGTCTGCTCACACTTTACTGGCTTCCACGCATGGAAGACGTCCAAACTAGCAGTATGTGTACACTGTAATTTTCCTGCCACCTGTGTGCCTCTCTGCAATGTAGCTGCAGCAGCGAGGCCTGCACGTATCTATCTGGGCTTCAGCACAATGCACTCTGTCTTTTAATCCACAGGAGCTGGGGGGGTGGGGGGCTTTTGAATGTGGAGGAAACTTTAAATGATTTTAATAATATGCTGCTGAAATGTTGCGAGAAGAAAAAAGTCGGTGGCATGCATGCATTATGTCAGCGCCAATCATTATCCCACCATTATGAGGTCATGGGAGGAACGTTTGTCGTCTTATTGCCGTGCCTGTCTGATGTAGTGCTAGCTGATTTAATCGTCTTGTTCTGCAGGTT